TTACTATTAGGGTTGTTTAGGACCATGATCAGCATGGTGTCTACAGCATACAATTCTAAAAATACCGCCCTAAGCTAAATTGCTGAGTATGGCTCTGTGCCATAACAGATTTGCAATAAGCGGTAACACATTCTGGTTATTTTCAACCTCAAAGACTCTCCTCCTGCTCAGCTCTGTGCAAGACCGTCTAACAGGGCTTCTGCAAAGCCCTTTGCTTACTTTCTCCTCCCCCATCCTAAGGATGTTTTCCTAAGCACTGTTTTCCCTGTGCTTCTGTCAATTGCTCCAAGTTGAAGGTTCCTTGGGTTTGCAAACCCCAGAAAGAAGCGTTACAATGATCAAGAGCAAATGTGAACTCTGTCTTACGAATCTTCTGCAAACTACTTCACCCCTGAGCCGCAGTTTCATCGCTGGTAGGATGGGACTAATAGTACCCACCCCAGAGGATTAGAGATGATACATACAAAGTGCTTAGCACAGTGTTGCGGAAATTTAAGCCAAGAAGAACAGAGAGACCAAGAGTGGGTCCTGGGTTTCGGCACCACAGTGACTAACAATAGAAACGCAAGTCAGTGCTAGGTATGTCTGCCACGCTGCTTTGCTGGAGCCAATTCTCTAACTACCAGTTCCGCATCATTATGTCATTCGCCAAGCTTCACATCAAACACATGGATGATTCAACTTTGCTGCGGGAGAACTTAGTCATTTTACTGACTTGTCCATGTTCCATTTGGCTGGTGTTGACTGGACTGAGGCAAACAATGTTGCTTCTGGTCTAGATTCTATCAACTTACTGTGCGAGCACTGGTAATTTTCTCTTCTGTAAAACTTGGAGGCAGAATACTAGGTGACCTGACCCCTAATTTCCTTCTGAAGGACCCATAAGCTTCCTCAGAGCTAAACTTTCTGTCCTTTGATTCTTTGACATCTTAAAAAGACTGTCTGGCTTGGGAGAGACTGCCCGTCCTGGCACTAGCCAACTGTTAGAGTTAGCAAAGGACTCTGCCCAAAGCTACTTTGATATCCACACTAATTAATCCAGAGCCATTCCTTCTCAATCTGGGCCATGCACCCTTGTAAGCAATATTGCTCTACTTAACTCATCCCAGGGACCAATACCAGAAAACTAGGGACCACCACTATAGCTTAGCACCTAATGAAATTATCCAACTGTTCAATTAATTATTAATCCTAAATGGTTCACTCTGCCCTGCCCTAGCTTGCCTTTCCCTCAGAAGCATCAATAAAGGCTCTGACCTAAGCTCACCGCTCACTCCTGTCTTCTGCCTCCTGACCACACCAGTCTTTCCCATGTGGCCCTGTGCAGTGTGTCCCATGCCTCCTGTCACTGCAACCTATGACTACAATACACTGTGTCTCTTCTGCAGCCACACCTAACTGGCCATCATATGAAAGCATACAAAATACACACAGTCGTTTCACACTTGCAAGCCTACAGAACACTTCCACGTTCATCAAACCTAATTTCATCTTCAAAAATCCATTGCGCATTTGCACCTATGCCATATGAAGAACGACCATGCCCACAGAAGTGATGTGACCAGCTCAAAGTCTGCCTATGCACAAGAAAGCCAGCTCTCAGCCCTAGGTTTACCGACCAAGGGATCAGTTTAAAGGACTGTATAAAACTCACACACAGAATTAAACTCGGGCAAGCCTCCTTTTCACAGATTGAGGGCTGAGAAGCACCTCAATGCCTAACTGTGGTGTAAGTCACCCAACTGCACAGGAGCTATGCCAGCATCTACAGAGATGGCCAGGCAATGATAAGGTTCGAGGCTGCCATTTCTCATTGTAGAAACATCTCTACAGGTGCATAGAGGATCTAAGTACTGTTATTTGAAAGCCCAGCTTTGTCCCATTTACTTGATGGCTTTAATATGTCCTGGAGGAGAAAAGCCATTTTGGAAGGGCGTTTATCACCCATGTGCTCTCCCTTGTTTTTGCTTCTGGAGTATATTGTGTAGAAGTGCAAAATGCCAAATTTTGCCAAGGTAATGTGTCTAGAGCAAGGGTGCTCAAACTTTAATCACCTGAGGACTTGTTAAAAGACATATTGCTGGTCTCTGGGTTGGGGCTCAAAGTAGCTGCATTTCCAGCAAATTGCCCAGGTGATGCTGATCCTGCTTGTCTGGTAACACTTGACAACCACTGGTGTGGACAGCCACCATATTCCATGGCTCCTCGAAATCCGCACTGTGGGCCCCATGCTGTACTACTTTTTCCTCATTAGGAGAAGGGAATCAGTGCTCTCTTCCCCACCACGTATACCTAGAATCATGAAATAGAAGCGGGATGTTTGCCCACCATTTCAACAATGAAGAAATAATAAAGCAGGTAAATTTGGCCTCAAACCCTCCAAAAGTAAAAGAGTTGGGCTTTGTGAGATTCTCTGAGAGACAATACTTGGGGACAATTGGGCTATTTCTGAGCTCTCTCTAACAAGTGCTAAGATTGGTTCAAGAAGCAGAAGTTAAATGTTTTATAGTGCATAAACATTTCCTTACACGTAAACTCAAAGACTGTTAAAATCCTCAGGTGATAAAAACCTGAATATATATTCTTTTTTTTTTTTTTTGAGATGGAGTTTTGCTCTCGTTACCCAGGCTGGAGTGCAATGCTGTGATCTCGGCTCACTGCAACCTCCACCTCCCTGGTTCAAGCAATTCTCCTGCCTCAGCCTCCCGAGTAGCTGGGACTACAGGCTTGTGCCACCATGCCCAGGCAATTTTTGTATTTTTAGTAGACACGGGGTTTCACCTTGTTGACCAGGATGGACTCAATCAGTTGACCTCATGATCCACCCGCCTCGGCCTCCCAAAGTACTGGGATTACAGGCATGAGCCACCACGTGAAATAGCTTCTTTCTCTATTCCAGCAAAATTCCTTGTCACTAGCAGCTGCACAGCCCATGAATACAGCAACCAGACAGTCTATCCTACACACCTAGACTCTTCTAAGAGTCAGAGGGGATTGTTGATAATTACAAAGAAAAAGGAGGGCATGGGCATAGGATTAGCCCACCAGTAAGGAAGTAAACAACAAGGTGAAATGCACACTCAGGCATACTACCTCTGCTCTTGCCTTAGGGAATCACCTCACTTGTAGTAAGTAGCATATGATGTACAGCTAGTGCTCGACTTACGACCACAGTTGGGACCGCGGACTGGTAGTAACATGATTTGGTCATAAGTTGAGTAGACTATATGTACAGTTGAAATGGTGCACGCGGAGATGATAGTGCTGCCAGAAGCTGGTCCGCACTGTCGTACGCCCAGCTGGGCAATGTTTGTGCTGCCAGACGCAGAGCAGTCGTGGCTAGCGATTATGGTCGTAAAGTCGAATGGTCGTACGTTGTATAGGTGGTAAGTCGATCAATACCTGTATCTTGGCTATGCAGGTTGGGAACTTTGAGGAGGTAGTTGAGGGCGTGTCCGTGTGTGTTCTTTCCTTATTGATCTTCCACCAACCTGCAAGACAAAAGAGGCAAGATGTTTTCCCAGAAGGCTGGAAATTGAGTTTGTCCACTCATTTACTCTAATGACCTGTCAGCCCTCAATGCTAGCTTGTTTTAATACACACTATCTTTGACATGGGCACAGGAGCGAGTCAGATGTCGAAGGCTGACCCAGATGTGCTCAATACCTAGTTAAACACCACCAGTCTTCATCAGATACTTGCCTCAAGCTTTAGCCCTGCCTAAGTCAGATGACCAAGGTTAGCTTTCTCTCCCCTGGGGATTGCTTAGTAGCTCCTCCTGGAAGGGGCACCTTGAAACTGGTCCTTTCATGCTTCTTTTTCCTAGGCCAAATGATATGAACTGGCAGTTGCCAATATGGAAATGGCCTGGAAAGGCAATTTACTTGATCCATATATGTTGTTGGACTATCATGTAAAAATTAGATGCTTTCACATAATACACAAATTCAGATTATATTAATTTTTTTTTTTAAATCAGATGATCCGTCAACACCACCAGGACTATCTGGTAAAGCATGGGAGGGAAGGAAGAGTTGGAGAAGAACGGAGTCGTGAAGGGAGATGGGAGACAACAGGGCCATGGAAACTGAAGGGGCAAGGGAAGCCAGGTGGGGGTGTCAATACCACAAGTGCCCCTGTACTTTCAAGGAGGCATGTTGGAATTTTACTAGCTAAGTGTGTAGAAGACAGCAAGAGCTTAAAAAGGACAATATTAGGACTAAAATTAGAAAGTAGACTAAACATCAAGAGATGGGGCTTCAAAATTAACATCCACTTACCTAGTGGCTATCAGAATTTAGCTACAATAAAAGGAAGGTAACCTCTCGCAGCAGCAAGAGAGTTGCTAGTGCCAGGATAAGGGCACAGTCACAGCAACGACATCACAGAGGAAATCAGAAGGGTTCAAAATTTAGGGAGGGGTTGGCTGGAGAACGGATGGGATGGTCTTGGGCATCAATCAGTTTCACAGTCACATCATGCATCCAAATGACACGGACATCATCAGCAGGTACACCTCTACCACTGTTCCCAGAACACTATGGAGATCAGGCTGTATTTGAGAACTTTCAAAGAATCCACAAAATCTATCTGTGCTCTGAAAAAAGAAAGAATTTTCTAGTCAAAAAAGTAAACTAATATTGTTTGATCCACTCTGATAAACTGGTGGAGAAAACACTTTTTATAAACTTAAATATGCAAAACTATAACAAGCACCAAGCTTAAAGAAATCTTTACAAAAACCCAGAGAATCTCTCTAGAATATGGATATTCACTAAATAAAAGGAGAGCAATAGCTAAGTAGACCTACATCTCCAAATGCTTGATCAAATGTGGAAAGCTGTGGGTCAATAATAAAAGCATGTAATGTAGGGTCATACATTTATGGAAGATACCATTAAGCATTTTAATAAGTTTCTATGTAAAGTCAGAAAAGAATAATTGTTTGTATAATGAATTATGTAAGAAACTGTTTTAAATACAAATCCAACACATCAGGAATATGTTAATTTTTTGGTTTATTAAAACAAATCTACATTTTGTGTGTTTCTTGCAATACATTAACAAGCATAAAAATCAATCTGCATTTCCAAGTATGTTTCACTCACAAAATCACGCAGTATTTCACAGTACCTTACAGTAATTCTTTTTACAACAATCTTAACATTTCTTTGTACACAGGCAAATAGTTTAATACCTTCCATCAAAACATTTCAGAGCCTTAGATGTTTAAAAATAAGGTCAAGAATCTCTTTCAAATGCAATCATTAGTTTGTATTAAACTAAAATGCCAGATGGCAAGTCTCAAGTTTCTAAGAAGTTTTAAAAAACGGGTTTACAGCCCATAGTAAGTCTTATAAACCTCAACAATAGGTCCTGTCATGTCTAAACACTACAACTACCTGTCGATAAAAATCTGCATTCCATTGTACAATACTTTCTTCTAGATCTGAATTAAAACCTTATTTACCCCAATTCATCCATGTATTCTGATACTTTCAGTGAAAAGGCCAGGATCGCTGGGGCTGTTCTATCAAAGGAAAGAACTCCAATCACCTACGTTATAATTTTCTGTGCTTATTTTCTCTAGGGAGGAAATACATACCTATTCAATGCAACACTGGATGTTACAAAATGCATGCAAATTCTGCCCCAGTGCCATCTGTTCATTACCGTGTTGTCTCCTTAAAGAACTATCTAACATAGTGTTTCCCAAAATGTTCTCCACAGGACATTAATGAGAGGTTCATAGGTATCCCAAAGGAGAAAAATGTCCTGGTGTCAAAACAGTTTGGGCAATGCTGAGTTAAACAGTTTTCACTGCTGGATGTCAAGCCCTTACTGTGCTAAAGTGCATTGTAAGTTTCCATGTGCAAACTTAGTTTCCCAGCAACACCATTTCTGTAACACACTGATGAACATCTCACAGAACACTCACATTACATGGAGCACTATGGGAGATGCTTTTCCCCATCCAGGTTACTGAAAATTCCACAATCTGAGCTTACATTCATTGTAATCCCAGAAATATTTTCTCCACTTACCCTCATGACTTTGTGAGAATTAACAGATCTCAGAAGGAAGGCTTGATGCCTTCTCAGTTAGCAGTTCTACATACTTCACACTGGTTTTTGCCTTTGTTTTTCATGTAATTTTAAGAGTGCAAAAATTCCTTCCTCTCTTCTGAATCACTTAGGACATTCTCATTTTTAAAAACAGAGTAGTTTCATATTGCTTAATATTGTGTGTGTGTGTGTGTGTGTGTGTGTGTGTTTTTAACTTGACTCACAGTCTTCCCCTGAAGGGCATGCATTTCATGTTATAGAAATGCAATAAAGTAAACTGTAATAAATTATTTACAAGCACCTAGTTTGTTTAACCTTATGTGGAAGCCATTGCTGTTGGAAAACAATGAGAATGTATCTTTTAGCAAAATGGTGCATTCTGGAAGCTTTATTGTGAAGATGCTTTTCTAGCTTTTTTTTTTTTTTTTTTTTTTTTTCAGTCATGAGGCACTGAAGAATGAGTTGTGCTGAAATTAACTCAAAGGTCAGCTTGTCTGGATGAGCCTAACTTTGGTTGAGATTTTTCTCCCTTAAAAAAGATTTTCAAAGCACCAGTTAATTACAAAAAGCATGCATATTTATCCTCACAGTGAGTTAAGTGGTGAGAGCTAGCAACTCATACATTGCATTCCCCAAAGCATCTGATCGAACTTCTAGAAAACAAAACCAACCAAAAGGGAAAATAACGCAAGAGAAGCCATATTTTCTCTGCTCAGGCTGGCAAAGCAGCAGCTCTTTGTAGCAGTGACAGGCAGGGCAGAGTGTCCACTGGGAACTGAGTCCCAACCTTGACTAATGGTGAGCTTGAGTAATCCTTAATCTACAATTTAAAGGATGAAAAAAAGAGACCAGTGAAATGTTTGATTTCCCCTGATAAGGGGAACACCCAAGGGAATACACAAGACTCCCTGAGATTCCTCCAAAGTAGCCAAGAAAAAGACGTGTTCTTCTACCCTACTCAGTAAAATGGAATGCTAAAATGTGATATCTTATTTAACATCAAAGCTACTACAACTGACAATGACTTAATGGTACATGAATTCCTATAAAGAAAAAATATATTTTAAATGCAGAACTTGAGAGGGATCACAGCAGCATAGCATTATTGCTATGAATTTCAAACATGATATTTCATACAATGTGAAATATCAATCAGCATCCATCCCTCTCCCAAAATACACGTTATTTATGAGATACTATTAGTGTTTAAAATCCAAGCTTACGGAGGTTACAAACTTAATTCTCAGTACTTTTATACTAAATTCAAAGAATCTGTGTAACACTCATCTAAAAAAATTCTTAATTCCATAATATCTTAAAGATAAGCAACAGTAAACTGTTAGAAAATATTTTAACATTGCATGATCTTTAAGAAATCACCATAATTACCATAATAAACTAATAATTATGCTCCCTGCTCACAAAAGGCACCTACCTATTATGAACAGATCATTTTTTATAATTATTTACCACTATGTGGCACAAGGGTTTAGGCATATAACCCATAAAAATTTGTTAAAAGCCATGGTTTTTCCTCAAAGCTAAAAATCCATAAATGCCTCTAACCATTACCAGTCAGTAGGGCCACCACATACATAAACTGGACAGGTGGTGCCCTGCACAACTGGGGTGGGCACTAGTCACCTGGACTGGGGTGCAGTGCACAATCTGTGTGCAGCACAGAAGCCCTCATCAGTGGTCTGTAGCCAGAGCACTGTATTCTAACAGAGTCTGTCAGCTCAAGCTAATCAAGTTAGGAAAGTTGCTATTTGGTTGGTGGACTTCCAAGAAACAGCTGTACCTGTGAGAGGCAGGTGTTACCTGAGGGCTGGGACGGGGTACAGACATAAAACAGAAGGGTTCTAAATACTTGCTGGTCATTTAAAACTCAATGGCACTTTTTTATAGGAGCAAAAGCTTTCAACACCAGTTTTTCTGGCCAAGTTTACCTAGAATTTTGCCAGCTAAATTAACTTCCTCATGTCAGCTATTTGATTACAATATCTCAGTTCCTGACCTAAACTAATATGGTCTGTTTTCACATAGCTCTTAAAAACATTTTCTAAATCTGACCGCAAAGGACAACACAGTGATACCTGGGTATGATATGTATCAGTCCATTCATTTATAAAGCACTTTAGGATAAAAGGTGCTCCCATTAAAAACGTAGCTACTATTGACAAAGACAAAACTGAGAAAGAGTGAATGGATGACTAAATTATTTTTAAAGAGAGCATTCACCATTAGCCAGAAAATATACCAACAAATTACCCGACAGCATTAAGTATACCATACAAGATTCAGTTCTAGAACACAGCTACATGTCTGTGTCCATCACAGTAATTAGTCCTTAAAAGCTGGACTTAAAATGTAAGTCTTTAATAAACTCCAAAATAATTTATTGAGATTTCATCTTGTAGTCTACTGATTATGAGTTGTGAATAGAGGCTGAGGTCCCTCCAGGTGTTATCTCTAGGCTTCTGTGTCGACGTAGAGCTGGGAAGATCACAGAACCATGGAGGGAGAAGGCACTTGTCTTCCAGGAGGTCACTTCGGGACAGGGCAGGCCTGACCTTGTGACGGCACCTTCAACTCTCAAGCCAGAAGCTGGTACCTACAAGGGACTCATCTTATGACCTTCACTTGCCAGCAGTGCCACATGTTACCTACAGCACCACAAAACTCAGAATATATTCTAGAAGTTTTTGCCGGTTGCATTGAGGTAGAAAAGTGCTGCTCAGTTCTAAAACAGACACTCTCTTTTGTTTGGTCTCCTTGAAAACCTAAAGAAAAAGTTTAGATTAAATTAAAGGCAAAAAAAAAAAACCCCACCCATTTCTATTACTAACCTGACCTGTGGTATCCTAGACCTCAGAAGGCAGTAAAGGCACACAAAACCACATCGTGGCTTTAAGTATGTATGCATGCGTGTGTGTGAGTATGAGATGGGAGTTACCAACCCAAGCAAGGTTTTTTTTTTTTTTTTTGGAATAGAGGTCAACCAACATAACTATATTCTAAAATTTCAACCAACATAACTATACTATAAAATGCCTTAGGATAAAGTTATAAACAGTCCCTCAAAAAAGTCACTAGTATCTCTATGGACTCACATTCCCCATGAATCATGAAGGTAAAGGACACTTGAGAATACTTCTAGGAATACTTGTAAAAATACAAGAAAGTAACTAAAAATCATATAGAGTAATTAAGAGCCAAGACTGTGGTATAGGTTGAGCATTCCTAATCCAAAAGTCAAAAATCTTTAGTACTCCAACATCTGAAACGTTTTGAACACCAATATGGGGCTCAAAAGACAGGTTCACTAGAGCATTTTGGGTTTTGGATTAGAGATGCTCAACCTGTAAGTATAAGTCACGTATTCCAAAATAAAAATAAAAATACATCTGAAATCCAAAACACTTCTGGTCCCAACATTTCAGATAAGAGATACTCAACCTGTAGCATCTTGAAACATATTGATACCAGTTATATATAGCAGTTTGGGAATAAATGTGAAATTAGTAAAATTCCAGAACATTCAAATAAATCTGCACTGATGGGCTTGACCTTCAACACAGCCCTACCCATCCTATATGCCCCATTCCCAAAAGTGCCTTTATCATTAAACCAGCAGAAGCCGCTGTTCTCGGGGTCCACCCTACCATGAAGGTAGCTCAAACAGACTAGACCTAAAAAGAACAGAAGACAGCTTTTATACCATAAATGGTGGACACCTACCCCAATATCCTTAAATATTTTCACAGCATTCTTCACCAGACAATATGTGGCACTCTCAGCTGGAGGGAGAGAATAAAACCCCATCAAATGGTTAGGCCCAACAAATCATGACAATCCCAATACCCACAGAAAGTATTGGGAGCTAGAAAGAGAATGAGGGCAAGTCAGCAGACAGGGGTGGGGCCCCACTTCTACCACTGGCAATCTGTGAGGTCTCAGATGACTTGCTGCTTCTTTAAACCTACTTTGTCCTCTATGAGGTAAAAAACAAAGGGAGAAGGAGAGAAAGGAGGGTGTAAGAGAGAGAAATACAGAGGAATGGAGGTAAGTAGAAATACCTAAACCATCCATCTTGCAGGACTTTTGTGAGAATCAAATGAGACGGTATATAAGTATTCTTTAAGCTATACAGTGATACACAGATGATTGCTACATCAGTGGAACCAGAGAAAGGACAGGCCTAGAGGTTAGGAAACAAGAATTCTGATCCCAAGATTACCCATAAACTAGCTGTGTGACCCTGGGTATTTTCTTCATCTATAAAATGAGGTGATTAGATTAGATTCCTTCTGGCTCTAAAGATGGATTCAAAGTAGATTCAGCTTCAAATTACAACTGTAGAAAATACTACTCTCACCCCAATCATACCTCCTAAAACAAACACAACAGAGTGCTGGCCAAGACGTGCAGCAAGTGAAACACACACTGTTGGTGGCAGTACCAGTTGGTATAACCACTTGGAAATTGTTTGGTGGTATCTACTAAAGCTGAATATGCCCAGAGCCTACAGCCAGGCAGTTCTGTTCCCACAGATATGCTGTATATAGGGGCACAGATGTTCACCAAAAGACGTACTCAAACATGCTCACAGCAACACTGTTCAAAGCAGCTGTGAACTGAAAATGACCCAAATATCCTTCAACAGTGGAATGAATAAAATGTGGTAAACATTTATACAATGGAACACTATACAACAAGAACAATGGAACGACTATACGAGTCTCAAATATAATGTTACATGAAAAAAGCCAGATGTAAGAGTGCATGACTGTATCATTCAACCTACGTAACATACCAAAGAAGAGAAATAGTAATACTCTACGGAGTCAGAGGTCAGGATAAGTTTGCATTTTTCCAATTTTCTACAATTAGTGAATTTCTGTAATCAATAAAACAAAGATTTTAAAAGACCAAATAGTGACTTAACATACCATATACTGCAACATTTCTTTCTGTTCTGGTTATTAGGTATTTGTGCAACTTTTGCAGATATTCAGGTTCCGGAACAGGACCGCTGAAGTTGTGAACAAAGATGGCAGCAGAGCTGTAGGCCTCCAGCAAAGGCCCAAGGAGCCTCTGTAAGAAGGTGATAAACTGCTGGTGCTCCTTGGATTGGCTCACCTGAGAGAGCAAAAGCAGGAGATGAGGTCATGAGGAAGTGACAAGAGACACAAAACAGGTGGACAGAGGACTTTCTCGGGAGAGCCAGTAGCGTGAGAAGATGGCCACGCACAGCAGCACTACCTCAAAGCGGCCCACTGCCCCTCATGCAGAGAATCTCTGCTGGAAAAAACTGCTGGCTTTCAAACACTCTTTATTGCAATCACTCACTTTTTTTAAATAGTATTTGAGGCTTGTGTTCATTGAACAGCTACCTAGAAGAAATTTTCATAACTGAATGCCAAAATTATGATATCTTATTGTCACTGAAAATAGCTGGTCTTAAGACCAGGCCCTCCACAGTTTGAAACCTGGGCTCGACAGTCACTCAAGTCTGCAAAAAGGTCAATGGGAGACCAACAAGACCATTTCAGTCCTTCTTCAGCACCAATTCCCTGCCTCCCCTAAATGGCCTCTGCCCACAGTGCAGTACTGTGGGGAATGATGGCCACCATGACAAGTGTTTTATGGCTGGGAGGCTCTCACTGGACCTACCCAAAACACGTTGGTTCAGTGAAGCCCCTCTAGGGTGTGAAAGCAAGATCACTGCCCAATCTTGAAGCTAATATCATCCAAGTGAAAAAGAAGACAATTCCAACTGTCAAAAAAGAGTAACCCACATAGGGTCTTCAGAAAAGACAGGTCATTATTACTAAGTTCTAAAATTATAAATTAAACAAAATTGATTTTTCTAAAAAGGGACAATTTTTTTTAATCTAAATTTTCTCCTATAATGGTATGTGTTTTAACTGACAGCAAAGAGCTTAATGTATGAAATTTTTGGAGGGATAGCAAGACTGACTCAAGGGCAACCAGGCCGATGGCAGCTCAACAGCAAAACTGCTGCCTCATGAGGGGGTGCAGGTGTAGGGAAACAGGTATGTACCTGTGTATTTCATAAAAGGGTGATGAAAGTCTCACCTATGACATTCATCCTCCTGACTTTTCAGACTCTCCTTTCCTTTTCTACTTAAACTGAATAAGGTACTAATTCAACTCAAACAGTCTGAGTGTCTTTACCACATAGAAGGTACCAGAGCTAGCTGGGGTTCTTTAGATACGAAGATATCACCAGGGCTCCAGCTGATTTCACTGCAACATAAACTCCAACATATCCCTGTCATATCCACCAGAATTCTTCACCAAAGTACCTTCAGGTAGCAATCTCGCTGTTCCTCCCCAAAGTCACTGTCTTCATCTTCTTCGTCACTTCTCCAAGACAAAGGTTCGGGAAGCTTCTTGTCCCACTGTTGCTCAGCAAGACTAGGACTGATATCTTCCTGGTCATCTTGCTAGGCCAAGGAGGTGAAGGATAGTAAATAAATATGCACTGGCACACAAACTGCCCAGTGGTGCCAGGACAAGGCAGTCCTCTTCTCTGGCCCTTCCTGGCTCTTCTGTGTTTAGCCATTCATAATGTCAATCCACTTCCCTTCCAAACTCAAACTCAGGGGACAAAAGAAAAGAGTGGGTAGGAGGGGAGAGCTACCAGAAAGATCAAATAAAAGGACCCCCACATATTCTTAATTGATATCTACTTTTCTGGGCCATCCCCTCTACACCAAATCCATCAAAATTAAAACAGAATCTCAAAAATGAAAACTGCAGATGTGCAAGCTACAAGCACACTGACAGGTGTAATGTCTCAACTTAACATACAAACCTCTGGATGTCACACAATCAATTCAGGATATGTTTTAGACAACACAACTTACAAATAGAAACCAAAATATTAAATAATCCCAAAGGACACTTCCTCTCCTTATTCTTATTTTTTGCATCTCTACATGTGAACATAACAACATACCAAATGTAATTATTGGTTTATTTATATATTTATGAGACTGAATCGCACTCTGTTGCCTGGGCTGGAGTCCAGTGGCATGATCTCAGCTCACTGCAACCTCTGCCTCTCAGGTTCAAGTAATTCTCATGCCTCAAAGTAGCTGGAATTTACAGGCGTGTGCCACCAAGACCAGCTAATTTTTGTATTTTTAGGAAAGACAGGGCTTTGCCATGTTGGCCAGGCTGGTTTCGATCTCCTGACCTCAGGTGATCCACCCACTTTGGCCTCCCAAAATGGTGGGATTACAGGCACACACCACTGAGCCTGGCCAGTTACTGGTTTAAATAAGTGGCAGAAAAGATAAGGGAATGAAGAACAAGTAACTTCATAAAGGCAAATAAAGAAAAGCTCTTCCTCTTACCTCCGCCACTGTAAGAATGCCATACTGGATAAACTTTCCTACTGTTTCATGGCAAACTTGGTAAAATGTCTGGCAAGGCTGAAAAGAAAAGTCATTTAAATGTAAATGCCACCATTTTATCCTTTTTTTTTTTTTAAGGCAGAAAAAAATGGTACAAGGTAGCTGCCAAATCCTTCCATTCTTTTACCTCCCTCCCCCCACTGGGTAAAGTCCTGTGATTCCCAACGCCCACCCTCTTGATACACACACGGTCATGGACAAAGCCTGAGAAGAAACCTGTCACTTTCTGGCAGAGCACCCAACGCTGCACCACCTGCAAAGGGTACGCCTGAGCTCAGTGCTCTCCCCACACCCACAATGTGGCAAGCCCTCTGAAGGCTGCTTGTCAGTCCCCCACTATCCATTTCTTTTACTTTATAAGACAATTTCTCTGCAGAAGTTATCTTATAATAAATACTGTACACAAAAGTGGTGAATGAGGAAATACAACATTGGAATAAGTAAACAAAAACCAAGGAAAGGGAAAGGTCAATCAGGAGTCTTATCTGCCTTCATCCCTCCCAACCCACCACCCAAGGTTCCTGCAAAATAGATTCCCCAACAGGAGCACTACTACACCTCACACAAAGGACAGCGTGGAGGGGGCGCTACTCCCAACACATGTACTCATCCCATCAACATCTCAAGACACAGTCATACAAAGGAAAATATCAGAATTCAAATATAATATGAATTCTACATGTTGATGAGTTTGAAAAAAAAGAAATCTACTGCTTAATACATATGTCTCATGATAAATGCCTAAAAGTGTTTGGGTATATAATGTACATGCTCATTAGTACTGCTGGGCTTTGATTTCCTCACTTGTAAATTGAGAGGGGTTGAACAGATGATTTTTAAGGCTGCTTCTGACTCTTAACATCTGTGGTTCCATCATCTACAGGTGGGTAGGTTAATTATTTACAAACCACTGACCCAGTGCCTCATACATAATACGTGCTCACTAGCTTTGACTGCGACTGCTGAGAACACTGACCAATCTGTCCTATCACGGCTCATAGCTGCAGATTGGATTCAGTGGAACAATGAGCCAAAGAGCAAACCAAGAAAGGAAATGACATACTGGTTTGGTGGTCATTGAAATCCAGGAGTGGAATATAAAGTGTCAACAATGGGCCGAACATTCTCTAACGGAAAAACACAGAGGGTTTATGTTTTCATGAAAACGCTCAAGAAAAGAGACCAGGCAACACTGAAGAGTCTTCACTCACCAGCGAGATAGTGCCTTCATTGGAGAGAAGGTAGCACAGGCTGGCCGCCTTCCGAACCAGCTGCTCCTGGCTGATCAGGTTAGGTGGGGTGCCGGCGGGCCCCCCCAATCCCCTCTTGTTCTGAACTGCATAAAGGCTGCAAGCTAAGAAAAGCAAAGCAACAATGAAGTTGCCAGCTCTAAGCCTCCAAGAAAAACTTCAACTGGTTTGAATAACCTTGAGAGACTGTTAATACATCAAAAATAATGGCCTGTATTTGCTGGAGAAATTTAAGTAAATCCCACAATTCAATTCTTGATTCCATATGATCCTAACTCCATCAAAAACCTTCTCCAATGACATGAGCCCCCTGTCCTCTCCTTCCTCTCTTCTCCTATCACAAATGAGGTCTTCCATTCACTTTGCTGCCCTGTATATGTTTCATCTCAGATTTTCAGCTCCTGGATAGCAAGACACTCTACCTTTCCTAATAAGGATAATACTATACAAATGGTAATTCGGTAACTACTCATTGTAGTTATGAACAGTGATATAACAGGAGATTACATTTTCATTTGGAAACTAAAAATATATCCACATTCCCTCAAGCAAGGGGCTATCACCCAAATTAAAGCAGATATCACTATCTGTTTTAGGCTCTTTTACTGTCCATGAAAATTACTGAAAATATTTCAAGGCCTGACATACCTATGATGGCCTCCATGATAAAGACATGAAGTACCCCATTGCTGTAGAAGTTGAGTTCAAAGACTGATGGGACAGTTGTGCTGGGGGTGATAAAAAACTCATCATTCCTGCTAGTGTGGGTGATTGTGACACAATTTCCCAGCAGCTGTATGGCATGCATTACTACATCTTCTGAATTTCCTGAGAACCCCAGGTCAAAATCACGAGCCAGGACTTCCTCTTTCATCACAAAGAAGTCTTCCACCAACGTGGAGAGATCGATTCCCTAAAGAGACAAAAACGGTATCATGCCAGTGGAAACCTGCTTTCCAAAAAGCTGAGAGGCCAACACTCCAGGACTTTCTCCTTGCCTTGGCTTTTCTGCAGCTCACTGCTGGCACATAGAGGAGGGCCAGAACACCAATGCAGAGTGAGCCAGAAAACTGCTTAAAAAGCTGGTCCTCCAGGAATGACACATGCTAGTGAACACTCTGGCCACGACACATGATATGCACACGTAAGATCAAAGGGGAAAAAAAAAAAGCCATCTGCAAGTAAGAAGTGCTTATTTTTTTAGCAAGATCCCCTTCATTTTAAATATTTATCTGACAAATATTTATTGGGTGCCTATATATATTGGCACTGTGTTTGGTAGTGAGAACATGACGGGACAAGACTGGTGTGGTTTCTTCCATCATAAAGCTCAGACAAATGTATTTTGTGAGGGTAAAGGGTGGGTTCTAAAATGCCAGTCAATTCATTTGAAAAGCATCTGCTATCAGTATACATACTACAGGTTAATGAAATAGAACTTATTTATATTATTAATCAAGCAATGTCTTAGTACTACGTATATCAAGCAGTCTGGTTTTGTTTCGTTTTGTTTTCTAATGTAGACTCTTCCTCCACCAAGTTGATAAACTCCTTTGGACAGAGTCCTCAGCTTATTTCACTGTTTATCTCAGCACCGGCCAGAAGTGTGCCAAATCTGCCTCCTGAATATGTATTATATGTATTCAAGCAGCTGATAAAACATTCTCCTGCTTCCTACTTAACTGCAGGTGACATTGCAGACATACCTGCCTGTGTCTGTAGAGGAGCAGGCAAGCCACAATGTGTGTGGACATAATGGCACAGGACTTGCTAGCAGCTGGAAGGCAAACACAAAGCTTTATTTAGTTGCACTTTTTTCAGATATAGCTGAACTTATTTGAAATATCTAAATTTTAAACAGGAGTATTTAAAACTATAAAAGTCTTCTATCACATTTCCAATAAGTGTGATTTACCAACAGGAAGTTATAATATCACAGTGTTCTGGTACAATGGAACCTCATTAGAGATCACTATTCATCATATAACAGGCTAAGACCGGTCCACCTCCAGGCCAATGGAACTTAATTAGTGAATGAAGAAGAGACACTCTTATTGAAATATAAGACCCAAAGTACAAGCCTGTTTGAGTTCTACAGGATTTCCCATTTCCATATTCCTTGACTTGCACCCACTTGCTGTCTATTATAGCTACAACTCCACTCTTCTTGCTGGTATTCCCATGTTAAAAGGAAAGTGTAGTAGAAGGGTAACAGCTGATTTGAAGTCAGGAAAATCTGAGCTCAAATCCTAACTTACTCACTAACTTCATGACTTGGGGCAAATTACTTAAATTTCTGGCCTCACGTTTCTCATTGGTAAAATGAAAATACTACCCTAGCTCATTAGACTGTGTGAGAATAAAATGATTGGCCCAGCACAGGCGCCACAGTAATGGGTGTTCAATACGTTTGCGTTTCCTCTTTCAACCTGACCCAGAGGTAAGAAAGAAAGGCACAGAAACACACTTGAGAATAACTAGAGTGCACAATCCAACACTGCAACACTGTGAATTTGCATAAAATTATAATTATATAAATCAAATCTGAGAACACCCATGGAATAATAATCTGAAATCATGGTAACATTTGTGAGTTTTCTAAGATAACAGTCAATTTATGAATACTTCATTCACCACTCATAATTGAAGTTGTCTCCAGTATTTAAAAAAAGTACTCAGTACTATATGTATAGCTATTAAAAATATTTATAAAGAATTTTTAAATATTAATACATGTGTTATAAATAGAAAGCAGCACAATACAAAACTGTAAAAAAATATTTTGAGAGACTACATAGCAACACCACTGGTTATTTCGGTAGTGGGTTTTTGCTATCTATTTCATCTTTACGTTCCAACTTTTCAACAATAAGGTATTATTTTTTGTATCCAGATTTTAAGCAGGAGAGAGACGTAATCGAATGTGCTTGAGAAAGAATCCTCTGGCCCAAAGTCAAGTAGGAATAGGAGCCCCCAGAACAGGAGGAGCAAGGTGAAGGAGGGAGGCCTCCCCAGTAGCACTGGCAGGAGGTGCTGAGAGTATCACCAGCGTCCTGGCCCAGAGAATGGCAAGAAATCACAACCGGGCTAAGCAGGGCACTGCCTTGGGATTTTAAAGCAGCCTCCATGACAGGACACAACTATACAACTTGGAACTTAAAGAAGACTGGTCCTGGAGTGAACTCACACTCCTCTCTGGGTTCACTTTAATTATTTGTGTACAACCATCCCACCGACAACAGCATAAGCTCGCTGAGTGCAGAACCATTAATTATTCATTTCATATTCTCCGTGGCTAAGTGAAAGCTTTATACAAAGCTACTCATATTTGCTGCATTATAAAAACTTATGAGGTCAAAGGAGAAATGGACATGCAACTATAAATCTAGATGTTGTACCACAAATTAGTTCAAATAAAATATACTGATGAGCAACAGAAGCCTCTGTTGCTCATCAGTATAACAACAAATATAAAATCATTTGTTATTAAATGATGTGAACTAATTTGTGGTATATAATTTGTGGTATATTAGTTCAAATATTTGAACTAATTTGTGGTACAACAAATATAAAATCATTTATTAAAATGATAACAAATCATTTTAATACTATCTTTAAAAAGCACAAAAACTACCACATGCACACCTACTAATTACCAGACACTGTATAAGATGTTTAACTCATATTATATCAATCTCCATGGTATCACCTTCTTTCTAATAACTCACCTATTACCACCTGTGAATTAACAGAACCTGAAGTAGAAACTAACCTCAGCAGATCCCAAAACCTGTATAGATTACACTGCACCATGATGAATCTTAACTGTAGAATTAAAGGGTTTGGTATTCTACTTACTGAATAGAATATGCTCAGCCAGATTTGCAATCAACCTCCTTCGTAGGGATTCATCTGTTGCATTTCTGGACTCATTAATGGGCGTGTCTCTACCTTCATCAGCAGCATCACTGGGTCTGAAAAGTGTTTTGAAAATCAACCCACAACCACACTCTTTTACAAGGCAAACTATGTGGAATTGATCTTTAAATAAATTAGATACTTTAAATTGCAACATATTTTAAATTCAAACCACATATAGATGATTTCTATGGGTTGTTTTCCTCCGTAACATACCGCATTATGGCCTGGACAAAATATGTTATTTAGTTATGACTAAATAGTCTGTGGATACATCATTTCCAAAACCACTGGCAGAAAAATACATAAACCAAGATGCACTATTTTAAAACATTTTTGAAAATTCAATATTTCCACATATTAAAGGAAGAGCTTCATATTCAATTTCCCTAAATTAAAATTCAATTTGAATTCTGAAAAATTCAAACAGCAGAAATCTTTTATACATTTCACTTACATACAATACGCATAACCTACTACCAAAAAAAATCAGTTCAAGCATTCAAAAAGCATAAATCAAATAAGAATTCCTATATGATTCACAAAATAAAAAAGATTTTATAAGCAAGTAATTAAAAAAACCCTCCAAACTAATATGAAAACATGTCATCTCAACATCCCTTATTGGACCAAGGCAAAAGTTACTTGAGTAAAGAAGTGAAAATAAGAATGTATACATTCAGTAAAGTTAATCTATGCAATACAAGAAATATCAGATGTTTAGTAGCTTAATTCCTGTAAAAAAAAATCTACAAATTTTACCTTGAAGGAAGTATAGCTGGTAACAATGCTTGCTCCAGAGAAAGTGGAGCAGATGCAGGTTTCTGACTTTGGCTTTCTAAATATTCCTGGAGAAAAAAAATACAACATGATCATTTACTCTCACTTTCCCACCAACATATAAAATACAATTTCATCTTCCACAGGTTAAAAGGGAGTTGTTCATAAAATAAGCCATGCTATGGAACATGAAAAATACTCTCTATATCCCAAAATATCTTTGGAAACCCAGAATGACTCAAGAATGTTGCTAAGCATGAAACTGAACTTAAGAACTGAAGGCACAAAGAATAGGATGCTCAAACAAAATCATTTCAAAATTAAAAGAAAATTCTTACCTTTTCTCACACATCTTCATAAAATTGACATTCCTAATATCATTAACTAGTGATAACATAATCATACTTAAAAATAATCTGGCAACCCAAGGGTCACATTATTTTCAAAAGAACCTCAATCTAAAAGCAAATTATAACAAGACAGAGGAGCTATGTGACCATTTAAAAAACAAAGAAAAAGAAAAGTGGCAAGAAATGATGAGCTTCTAAAAGATCAAGGATTTAAGGCCAGCAAGCATCTACCACAGCAGCTGGAATCTCTTAAAGTGAAGCCAGGAAGTAGAATAAAAGGAGGCAGGACATTCTGCTCCTTATCCCTGGGCTCCCTACTTCTGTACTCATTCTTCTCCTTCTCCTTACAATTTGAATATCTTAAGAATTTAAAACAGCAAGGACCTCAGGCACCAGCCAGTCCCAGACTTTCAATGAGGATGGCGCTATCCCTTGGATGTATGGGGACTTGATTCTACACAATAGGACACAGAGAGCATCATCCTAAGTGCCAAATTTACCCAGCTTTGGCTGGGCATAGTGGCTCATGCCTGTAATCCTAGCACTTTGAGAGGCCAAAGCAGGCAAATCACCTGAGGTCGGGAGTTCAGGAGCAGCCTGGCAGACATGGTGAAACCCCGTCTCTACTAAAAATATAAAAATTAGCCAGGTGTGGTAGCAAGCACCTGTAATCCCAGCTACTTGGGAGGCTGAGGCAGAAGAATCATTTGAACCCAGGGGGCAAAGGTTGCAGTGAGCTGAGATTGTACCACTGCACTCCATCCTGGGTAACAAGAGCACAAAACTCCATATTAAAAAAAAAAATTTACCCAGATTTTAAGGGAGCTGTTGGAAAAATTTCCCCTAAATGCAATTTTTAAAAATAAGATATAAAAACATATTATAAAGGCACATGAAAGATTCACATGAATTTTTATTTTTTTACAATTATTCATTTATTCATTCATCCATCTCAAAATGTTGTTTTGACTTTTGGGGTTTTTAATTGATATATAACAGTTGTACATATTTTGGGGTACATGTGGTATTTTGATACCTATATACAACGTGTAATGGTAAAATCAGGGTATTTGGCATAACCATCACCTCAAACACTTATCTTTTTTGTATATGTTGGGAATATTACAATTCTTCTCTTTTACTTATTTTGAAATATACAGTAAGTTACTGTTAAGTATAATTTCCCTACTGTACTATCGAATACTAGAACTTATTCCTTCTACCTATTTTTTGTTCCTCTTAGATTGCCATGAGTTAAATAATGGCAATAAATGTCGAGCCTGGTATCTTCCCAAAACAGAAACTCACCCTCCTTTGTCAATAGGCAAATTTTGTGGAAAAATGTAGGAAACACCACCTTTGTCATAGTCCTCATTTTACGGGAGAGCAAACTGCAGCCCCACATCACACAGAGAGGTGCTGTTAGAGTCGGCACTGGAACCCCCTGACTCAAGTCGATGCTTTGACATGGTTTCATTTCAATAGACACTCACCTTTAAGGAAAATGGCTGTGCAAAGTCCACTCGGACACAACCATAGTTTTTTCGTAACATTCTAATAACACCTCTTGCTACACTCCACAGGCTCTCATTCTTCTTAGGTTTGCCCTAAATTCCAATAGTGAGAATAACATAGTGAGAAAGCCAACACATACACAAACATTCTATTACCCACAGAATAACCTGTTTTATGGAAACTGTAAGTTCATCTTGAAAAAGAACAACAAATGAAGAAGGAAAGGAAGGAGTCATTAACTGCGGCCTGTCAGAAAATGTCTGGTATTCAAAGATGCTAGAAGATGTAACCCTGTCATTGGGAGATATAATTCAGCCAATGAAAAATGAAACATCTAATACTATTTCATTTAGTATAATGGTCACACAATTCACAAAAATACAATTGCAAACTAACAAAGGAAAAATTGACATAGCCTGGAAAACTGTTCTGTGGTTCTTAAATAAAAATCAAACTTCAAAGAGGCCATTTATCTGAGGTCTGATGATCCCCAGAGTCTACATATCTAATATTAGCCAAGTAATTGCAAATCCAGCCTCACAGCGGGAACTGAGTATTCATTCAGTAAGCACCTAGTATCTATTACACATAAGGCACAATGACAGGACATATAATGGACACAGACTCATAAATGAACTTGTGAGACACAGAATGAACAGGGTACACATCAAGGACAGATTCACAGGACACAAGAAGAGTGCCATGCAAATCATATCGCTTCATTTGTAAGCCTAACAATTTCTAAAGCCTCTTGAATTTCTGACATGTTTGGAGCCATAAGCTTGAAATAAGTACCTCACCCCAAATTTCCACAATAAATAATAACAAAACTAAACACCACTGGAACTCTTAACTGCTGATTGGAGTGGTAAGTTGGTAAAATCATTCTGATAAAGTGGTTGGCAGTACCTACTACAGCTGAAAATACACATTTTTTTACAACCCATCAGTTCTTCTCCTAGGCACATACCCAACAAAACGAATGTATGTGGTCATCAAGAAAAAATACACAAGAATGATTACAGACAAACATTTTGCTAATAGTAAAATAAATTGTGGTATTCTCATACACTGGAATACTACACAGCTATGAGAAGGAACAAACTACATGCAACAATGTGGATGAATCTCACAAACACCTGCTTAAGCAAAGGAAATCAGATGTGTACAGATCACATATTATCCAATTTATGCAAGTGCAAAAATAGGTAAAAACTAACCCAGTGTGTAAGAAATTAAATTAATGATTATCCTTGAGGGGATAAAGATAGGAGGCGCACCAGGAGGGTTTCAAAGGTCCTGGTAATATTGTTCCTTGATCTGGGTGCTGCTTGCATAGATGTATTCACTTCGTGATAATTCAAGCTACATGCTTATGATTTGTATACTCTTGTTAACTATTACACGTCAATAAAAAGGTGTATTGAAAAAGTTATTGCTACTTCTCAAATTAATTTGTAGCTGTTTTCACCACCACGACCCCCACCAGTTCTTCAAGCCCAATTTAAAATATGCACATTATCCGTAAGCCCTGGGGAGAACAAACCACAGATAATCTTCCACAGCAGAGATGGCAGCGTGGTGACAAGTCTTCTCCCACTTCCCAATCCCATGACCAAGGTCAGCACTGATAAATCTAACCATGTCACTTCTGCCAAGCTCAGGAAGACACCATAAAAGCACTACCAATCAAGTTCATAATAGGGCATGAAAGCTACTCACTGTGCCCACCCAGTCACATTTCATACAGTGCTTTAAACATAGGGAGTACCAAAAAAAAATTGTTAGTTAATTCTAAAAGCAAATCTAAATTCTAAAAGTTAAATCTAAAAGCAAAACTTGATAAAGAAAGACAATTTTTGTGTAGGCACCCTTACCAGTTGTTCACCATTGTAGTGACCTTCAATAATACGATCATAGGAGATTCCAACAGGTATTACCAAGAGGTCTGGGATGACATTGGTAGACAGAGTATCTACCACAACTGACAAAAGTCCTGCCCGAGCACAGGAGGTTTTTCCACTCCTAGAACGTGTGCCTTCCAGGAATATCTCCAAGAACTGCTGCTGTCGAAGTAATTCAACGATATGCTAGGATATGAGAAGAAAGTAAAACATGAATTCAAGACCACTCAACTTAGAATGAGCTCAGAAAAATTAAATCTTAAAAAGCAAAACAGAAAAACCTATAACTTCACTACTGACAAAGTATCTTATTCATACTATTAAAGCAGCTCCTCCAATGCTCTATTTTGGTAATAACAACAACAACAAAATAAATCACCAAGCTTAAGCAATAATCACTCAAGTTACCCAAATAATAGTTTCTTAAAAATCCCAACTCAATAGCGTCATTTTTGCTTTTACTGTGATAACCAACACAATGGCTCTAAGGATAATTAGCAATCATACATACCCCATGGAGCAAAGCTCTATAGAGAACATCTTTCCGCCCATCTGGTGTTTCATCGAGCCTTCGTCGTATGAAGAAGCCCCCAAGCTTATGGATCAAGGTACTACAAATTCAGAATGCATGAATTATTTATGAAGAAAAATGTAAAAAGAATACTCACATTCCAAGTTAATTCAAAACATTTGCCAATTGGATACAAGCCATATGTGCTGTATGGGCTGCTGACAGTAAAAATGCAGGCATTTTTTCATTTTCCATATATTGATGTGTTTCATTTACATGTTCATCAGTCTTTGGGATATCACTGTGTATAATGAACCTCTATGACATGTGTTCCAAGCCAAAAGGAGTCTGAATGACATGTTACCGTAAAGGTGATAGTATAAATTTTAAGAGCATTATGTAACACTTCTAAATTTTAAAATCCTGCCCAGGGTCTGAAGACACTGACCCTTAGATATCCTACAATTTGCTCATGGCATGTTTACTACAAAATGAATACGATGTTTATTATAAAAGCTCCTTGGGGGAAATTTTCTCAAATAAGTATTGCTTCCAGGGGGTCCTTGTAATAATTTTATCCAACTGAAAATAATTTTACCAACTGAAACGAAGAATAACCATCTTTCCAAAACATAACATGAAACAAAAATATGCTTCATTTGCACATACGCAGGCATAAAACAATTTTTCCATTCCCATGTCTCTTTCTACAAAACTAATTTTGACATGAAGTTGAAATTGTCTAAGTCAAGCTTTCCAAACTCACAGCCTCCTATTCTTTTCAAGTAAAGTGATACTAATATAAATGTTAATATATATTTTTGGGGTATAGCAGGGGTCCCCAACCTCAGGACCACAGACCAATACCGGTCCCTGGCCTATTAGGAACAGGCCACACAGCAGAAGATGAGTAGCAGGAGAGCAAGCAAAGCTTCATCTATATTTACAGCTACTCCCCCCATTGGTGGCATTAACCCCTGAGCTCCGCCTCCTGTCAGATCGGCAGTAGCATTAAATTCTCGCAGGAGTGCAAATCCTGCTGTAAACTGCGCCTGAGGGATCTAGGTTGTACATTCCTTATGAGACTCTTAATGCCTGATGATCTGTCACTGTCTTCCATCACTCCCAGTTGGGACCGTCTAGTGAGTCTATATTATGATGAGTTGTATAATTATTTTTTTATATATTACAACGTAATAGTAATGGAAATAAAGTGCACAATAAGTGTAAAGTGCTTGAATCATTCCAAAATCATCCTCCCCATCCCCTTGGTCTGTGGAAATTGTCTCCCATGAAACCAGTCCCTGGTGCCAAAAAGGTTGGGGACCACTGCTCTACAGTAAATGCATGGAGTCCACAGTAAGTTGTTGCCAAAGCTTAGTAATCACTCTTTAACAGTAAAACTCTGCAGAATAAATTCACAATGAATGAGATGAGCCATTTACAAAAATAACACCTGAGAAGTGGTTTGGGAATGGGGAGGCTGTCATGTAATAAAAGAAAGTTGCACAAAAACAGGCTGGGTTATCTATAGCCTGCTGTGTCTGAAGGACGGATGAGCTACACAATGGCTGACATAGAGTCCATGAAAGGGAAAGCTGGATTATGAAAAACTATCAGTGTTTATTAAGTAGTTCCAAGAAATCCTAGTTGAGAACCAAATGTGGAGGAAATGGGTACAGGAAATAGTCTAATTACAAGAGAAGCAAAGCCTCTCTAGAGCCCCAACAGAACTTAGTCCCTCTAAGTCTATGCCCACCAGAAACTTCCAAATGACTTTCTAATTCAGTTTCCCAGGTTCCCTGGTCCTGGGAAGAGGTACCCTGGAGAGTAAACAGATATTCTAATTCTTGGAAAAGCACATCTACCCTGTAGGGTCATATCACACTCTATTGTATTATCCATTCCGCTATGTGAAGGCAAGGACTATATATTTTGTTCTCTCTTGTCTAAAGCACTGCTGGATAAATATCACTGACTGCATGAATGCATGGCGTCTCTTTAGTTGGTCACAGGAGTCTGGTTAGCTACAGAACTCTGAAAGCCTAGAGAACTATGAACCAAGGGATTAAGAAGGAGCTCCTTAGATTGTGATACTGAGTACACAGCACACAAAGATGACGAATGCCATCTTGTGAAGCTCTACTGCACAACCTTTCCTTTCCTAAAGCCAGCCCACTTTCCTCTAGTCTCTTTCTAAATTCATGCTCCTCTTACCCACTCTCTACTCACAGAGCTGACCTTAGAGTTGCTTTGTGCTTTCAGGTTTTGAAACTTTAACTTCCCAAACCAGCTCAGCCAGTTCCTCACCAATTCCTTGTTGGTGATCAGACCTACCATCTACCCAGTTTCCTAGGTGGTAAACACCTGGGAATCTTGTTACTTCCTCTCTCTCTACTGAGCCCCCATATGGACTCGCATTGGGTCTTATAAATTCAAGCTACTAAATACTTCAAAATCTATGCCCTCTTGTCCAAAAGCACTACTATACTTTTAATTTAGACCTGCATTACATTCTGCCTGAACTATCTAAATGGAATCAGAATTGATTTCATTCTTTCTAATCCAGAATGACCTTGCAAAATACAAATCTGAACACGCCATTTCTCAAGTACAGGACAGACTCCAATCTCTTGGCTTAGAAATTGTTTTGATCTGGCTCTCACTACCTATGCAGCTAACACCTTCAGTCTCTGATCCTTCCCAATGCATCCCATATTTCCCCCTTACCTAATTGTCCATCACTTCCCAACCATATCATGCTCCTGTATCTCTCTGCATTTGCACAGACTATTTCCTCCAAATGGAATGCATTGAGGAAAACCTCTAAAAAACCTTTAAAAAGCTGAAAACCTCTAAAAGACACTTTTCACATTATACTGTACTTTTTAAGTGGTTCTAGCTCTACTAAATTATGAGGTCAAAGTACCAGGCATGGTTATCTTTATACCAGTAACCCCTCTCCCACATCACTGCCCCCTCCCCCGCCACACAACTCCCTACTGCTGAGCCTGGTACACTACTTTGCTATCTTGCCTTTCTAATTGCCTTTTATCTATTTGATAAATAATGGCCATAAAGTTTAGGGAGTCACAGTTCACCAAGTATCCCACATAAAATATATAAAATAAATAACGGTGATAGTCTTAATGCAATTTTTGTATCTCCAAATTTTACACAATAAACACGTATCACTTTCATAATAAAAGAAAAAGTGCTAATGTCATCCTTACAATAAGATATATCCAAAGGTACAATTTAAGAAACCCAAAAATTCAAAACATAATCTTTTTAGTTCCTTAAATCTCAAGCTCATCTTACCTGAAGATTGGGATGTTGAGATTATTGCCTGAAGCAATGTATGGTGCTTTGATGTTATGGCAGAAGAGAATGAAAGTGAGCAGCAGATAGTCAATATGGGATCTATGAACTGGTAGAAATATAAGCGGCAAATTCGTCTAGCAAAGGGAAAAATGCCAAATTTAAAATTCAAATGTAAAATTCAATCACACTTTGCAACTGCATATTTGGCTAGAGTCACTCAAACACTGGCTAATTAGTGACTCACTCCTTAAAAACATTTTCCAATAATATGAACTCCCTTCAATGTAATACTTTTTGAGCTAAAAATAAGAGCAACTATAACAACAGAAATCAGTTGGGGGAAGAAGAGCAATCAAGAGTTCCAGTTGACCTATACATTTTCTGAGAAGCAGCTCTACTGATATAAAAAGAGCACAGGTTATGGAGTCAAGCTTGGATTGGTTTGAAATCCTGGGCAAGTCACTTATTATCTGCCACTTGAAACAACCTATTTATCTATCTGTGTCTCTGTTGCTTCATCTACAAAACAGAGATTGTTCTACCAGACTTTCAGGGTTGTTGGAAGGTAACTTACAAAAGGAATCCTGCATATTGCCGGTAAGTACTCCCATTTCTCCTCCCCAAAGACACAGCTACTGAAGTTACCACAAACAAGGAAAATCTTCCAAATGAGTTGAAATACACAACAGCACACGAGAACATTTCCACAAGAACTCTAAAAGCACTCTACAAATGAGGGGAAAACGGGGCAACAGATTCACAGAAATTCTTGCCTCAGTTGCAGCTTTGACCATCTCAAGTTGACCTTTGTGAATCTGAATGTTCCAAAAGAAGCTGTTGAACAGTTTTAACAGCACCCACCCAGTCAGTCTGAAACAAAGTACAAACAAAAAACATAAATATACACACATATATTTTTACATACAAGTATATACAGTTGACTTCTGTCTACTTAAATTTCTAGACCTACAACCTAAAAGTACTTGTAAATGACTTTGTGTGTGTGTTTACATGTGCGCATGTGTATCTGAATTGCTGGATTAGACCTAACTTTATATACATATACTACTTACAGAAGTATCCATTTATTATGGACTACAATCACATATCACTCTAATAATACTTTATACTGCAGAAGCAAATGACCAAGGCAAACTAATATTTAGTGAGCAGAATGATGCCTCTGATGCACGCAAACCACTCCTTTTATGACTCGGTTATGTGAAAGTTGGTTCACAACTAGTCTAGATGAGCAGATGTCAATTGTAATACACTGGCTGCTATCAATTAACAGAGATGAAGGCACCTTCAAGCCTAACACAGCGCTACTGTGCATAAAAGCTGAATAAGAATATAAACAAGAGTTTAATATCAGGATTCATTAAAACTTCTTTTGGACAAAGAGAGCTGTGCTAGGAAGTTCAATAATTCAGTCTTATTTGCTCAAATCATCATGGCTTTAATTGAAAGCTTTTTGCCTTGCTTTTTAATACCTGATCATTGTTGGTGAGACAGTGGCCACCATTTCTTGAAGAATCCTTCTTGCCTTCTTTTTCACTTTGTTAAGGGCTTTTGATTGTTGCTGGACAGAACCATCAGGGTTTAATTCAGCAGCCACTTCTGCAATTGCCTCTTGTACTCTGGTACGAAAATGGAGAGACAACGTAACTGGTTCTCTACTACATTCTATATTCAGTATTTTCTAAACTGCAGTTGTAAATCCCCAAACAAAACGTATGTTCTCTTTGAAATGTGGTAATATGAAAGAATAAGCTCAAGCTAGAGGTGCTCTTTCTGGCTATTAAAGACACTGGCTCCTATCAATTAACAGAGATAGGAGAGATAGGGATATTCACTGATATTCCTAAATCAATGAATCTCTGAGGATCTGGAAAGCAGACTGAAGAATTTAATTCAAATGTACTGGGTGACAACTATGTGAATTTGAATGTTCCCATTAAAGTGTGAGAGACACAAAATTGCATTCTAGCAGAAGAGAGTAAAGGAAAGGTTATCCTTTTAGGCGTATAATTCAGAGGTATCCAAAACTCTACTACCAAATTAATGTGTGATTTTTCTTTTGAAGACCTAATTTACTATTAACTCTATTGTGACTCCATTAGTAAAACTATACATAAAACTCTGGGAGGGATCAAAAAGGGACATAAATATTTATAAATATTTTTTCAACTCAAACCAGTAATGTTTAAAAGACACAGCTCAAGATCAAAAGAGCACAGCACATGGTAATAAGCAGTGAGATTAAAGGAAACATTTAATCCAGTTTTATAAATCTTCCAGTTGACTTAGCGAAAAAAGCATGAGGTTCAACCTCCTTCAACCACTTCTAAGATCCCAGTTACTAGTCAAAACATCTGGATGAAATAAACATACTTGAAGGTTTTAGCAAAAAAAGAGAATATATAATAATCTAAGAGTTTCAAACAATTGTGTTTTCTCCCACTGGTGTTGAATTTGGACTAGTGAAGTAGAGCAAAATTCCGCATAGCCCCACATTTCACTAATACAAAAAGACCAATACCAAAGGACATGAATGTACCCCAAGTCTATTTCTTAAAAAGCATTAATTGCATTCTGGCCAGGAATATTTCCACAAGTCATTGCCATGTCTGATGCATCTTCATTATCAACTACTCACTCATTCATTCAAGAAGTATTTCTTGAGTATGTACTACGTGCCATCCCTGTTCAGGCCTTAACAAACATAACACAGAATCTGCAAAGGACTCTTGAGAAGTCAAAGCAGCCTTTTAATTCGCCCTGGTCTCCTGTTCCCCAAATCCAAGTAGACCTCTAAAACCGGCCATACCAATGAGGCCAGTATTCTAGAATAAACATTCTAGAGCATGGGAGTTTGGAACACCTTCACCCAAACTCCCACACTGTAGAATGTTTATTTCCCCTTCCACCTGAGTTCCAGTCAGTCTCTACCATTTGTAACCAAGCTCCTGTGAGAGCAAAGGCAGTATCTCATTCTCTTAAGATTTCTAGCAATGACTTTCTAGTACAAGAATTTCTACCTAGGTACTCAGTAACTGGCAACAATATCAAACTGATTTCTCTTTTGGCTATAAAATAGGAAATACAGTGTCTCCAACATTTATATTATAGAAAACAGAGAAATATATGCATCTGGAAATACATGCATCTCTGAACTCCTACTTGCCTTTCATGTTTTAGAAACCCATTTAATTATTAATCCACAAAACAAGAACGCTATTCCCACATGGCACTGTCACCAAAGCATCTGTTCTCCTTAGTTTCCTTTGGAGCTTAACATTTAATGTTTGGAAATGTGAACACTTCTTGAGACATAGTCCCAAAGAAACTAAAGGTTACTAAGGAGAATTACTTCCCCCTCCCACTCCTACCACCCATCCCTGCCTCTGCCCACCTTTACACCTATGCCCCGCCCTTACCTACTGCTGTTCAGCACATTTTCAGTCACGTTGGTGGCAAACATGCCCTTATGCACATCTCGCTCTTGAATAAAAAGAACATAAGAAAGGCATCTTGCAAGCCATCCCCGGTGTCTGTAATGTGAAAATGATTTAGCAGAAACGTATTATAGGTACACCTAAAACAAGTTGCTTAAATTATAAACCAATTTTGCGCCCATTAAAAACAAGGCCTAATGTCATCTATTTCTGAGACTTAGGGTTCTCCTATAACAAATTCTCCTTAGTCACTCAGAATGCTGTGCAGCCAATTTTATTAATGTACTCACAGCTAAAGCTGAAACTTGGAATTTGTGTATTAATGTTTGAATAGTGTTACTGTGCTGAATAACCCTATATAAAAACAAAAGAAATAAGAACATTTGGCTTTATTAGTACGATTAAAAGGCAAAAATGTGTAATGCTATATATAAGCTATATCTATTCTGATACACCATACAGTTTATAGTTATAGCTATGGGCTACAAAAAGATAAATTTGGAGGCAGGGCATAGTAGCTCACACCTGAAATCCCAGCACTTTGGGAGGCTGAGGCAGGCGGATCGCCTGAGGTCAGAAGTTTGAGACCAGCCTGGCTAACATGGTGAAACTCTGTTTCTACTAAAAATACAAAATATTAGCCTGGTGTGGTGGCACATGCCTATAATCCCAGCTATGCTGGAGGCTAAAACAGAAGAATCGCTTGAACCTGGGAGGCAGAAGTTGCAGTGAGCCCAGTGAGCCGAGATGGAGCCATTGCACTCCACCTTGGGCAACGAGAGCAAAACTCCATCTCCCTCTCCCTCCCCCAAAAAGATAAATTTGGAAGTCTTTTCCTATGACTAAAGGCTAATTTTTTTTTATTGTCATAGTTTTTTTTTTTCCTAAGATAATCAATGACTTTCTAATTGAACTGACAAGGCTAATCAGTTGAAAGAAGTCAAGCACGATCTAAATATTTGTGCTCTGGGCTAATGAAGCCAGAATTTCTCTTTTTTAACCCCTCTACATTTTAAATATACCTGAGGAACAGAATATATTCCTGTCAGTAACAAATGACTATGTGGTATTTAGATGAGAGGATGGAGAGATGAGTTTCAGAATAAGAATACTATAAGCTTTCATTATATAATAATTTGAAACCATTTGTAATAACTATATAATGCCACATTATCATTATCAATTCAGTAACTCTGAAAAGACCCAGAATGCCCTCAATTGAGAAAAACTAATTTGAGGGAGAATTGTTTATGAATCACCTATTTCATCATCTCTCCTTCCTGCCATTCTCTTTCTTCCTCCTTTCCTTTGTGTAAATCTTCCAAAAATTTGGCCCAGTATGTTAAACATTAATCCTAAATTTTTCCTTCAGCCAACATTTTCAGAAATATTACTGGAATGTACAAAGTCCAAGCTCTCTATGAAATCCCTTTGCAACTGACTGTAAGCATTGTGTGTTGTGTACATGTGCATAAGTGTCAGAGTGACAGAGTGTGTGACCGTACGTGAGTGTGTAAAAATGTTTTAGGCTTTGCTTCACATAATACACATTAGAATTAAATAGCTGAACATGCAGCTTATTTCATTGAATCGTTTCATACTGCCTAGTCATCATAGCAAATGCTATTTTCCTTAACTGTCTCTAATTGAGGGCAAGAAACAACCCACTTGGCTTTACATATAAAATATCTACTTACACGTAAGGAAGAGAAGTCTCTATTAGATCCCTTTTCTTAGAATCTTATCATCTTATCAAAAACAAATTCAACACCAAAGTCTCTCCCCCTCCTTTAAATTTAAATTTAAAAGAGAGACCAGCAACCTGGGGATGGGAAAGACATGCTCACGTCTTAGACTTAAGTTCTATTTTTCAAAAGTTTACTACAAATGCAAGTATTATCGTTCTCATGTGTGATCTAATCATCAAATTATGAGAATTAATTTCATAAAGGCTTCAAGTAGTTGATTTCTTGCACGAATTCTCATAGAATTTCAAGTATTTCTCACCATCTGAGTCGACCTGCCTGCCTACTCCAGGTATCTACTCTTAGAATTACAAGGATGGCTAGCATTTGGCTACTGATTCTCTTGCCTCACAGATATTCACACAAACTTTCAACCCCCCTTCTTCGTCCCCTTGCCTAGAGTCAGATCAAACAAAGGCCCTTTTCTCTCACACTGGTACTTACAACCCATCCCATGTGATGGGAAATTGTAAGAATTCTATGTAAAGTCTTGGGTAAATAATAAATCAAAGGGCATTTGCTCAATAGAACAATGTCTTCTAACACTTTACAGATTGGGCAGATCAATAATTTATACTTTTTCTGAAGTATTAAATAGTTATAATAAATCATAAGAGATTCAAACCTACTGGTCTCCTCAGACAAATATTTCCCACATTTTGGCATACTTCATATCCAAAAATCAACATAAGAACAAGTCAAAGAACACTCTAAGTGGCATCTACACTCTCATGAAAATATTTATAACTACAGAAGTGGTAACAGTAATAGTTCTCTCTGTGGCTATACTGCTTCCAATTTTCAGATAAAGCCTCTTGTGTCAGAAATTCATATTTCTGTTAACTCATATTCTATTAACTCTCAATAACTCAAAGCACTTCAGCTTAAAGTGTGTTAACTGATTATTAAGTTTTTCTTTTGAGATGTATTAAAAACACAAGAAATTTCTTTTTACCTTGTGTGAGTTTCATTGATATAAATAACATTCCGCAAACCCAAAGACGGGATACTGGGGTTGAAAAATTTGTCCTATATAAAACAAAGTAAATGTAGACATAAATACACAACTAGATTGATGGTAAAGAGCTCTCATTACCAGTTCTTGATGACTTTAATATTATGCATAAAAACAGACATTGCCTCAAAAATCTAAGTGAAGAAAAATGTTTGATTGAAAAATACTTTTTAGCCTTCGAAGAAAGTCATAAACTCAAAATTAATCTTAAAAACCTTAAAACCAAAGGAAATAATACCCCTTCCTTCTTGACTCCTCATCTCCCCCCTGAAAGAACTGAAGCTACAGGAATGTCAAGATTTCAGTTTTTCCAAAATACAAAGATCATGCTAAGTACTATACAGTTATTGTTTCTTACTACATCTCCCAAAAATCCTGACACATAAGAGTTATTAACATCATTTTATAGGTGAAAAACTAAGGTTGGCAGAGGTTTAGAATTCAATCTTATGTCTTGCTCCAAAGAGTATGGTCTTTCTATTAACCCTGAATAACTGTCCACTTAATGAGAAATCGTATGTCTACTGGTCACCCTCTGTACACGTGATCTTGAAAGATAATCCAGAGATAGCTTTGCTGAAAAGATAGTCTACAGCACAATTCACCCAGCACAATTACCTAGTCACACAGGTTATAAGCCACCTTTATCGATATGGGCAAAAAAGTAACTGTTCCACACTGAAATGCTGAGAAAGCATAATGTTCCCTCAACAAAAAATATAAAAATACTTAAGTGGAATCTCTTTAGAGAAAAGGAAAATAGGATTTCAGAGAAAAGATAGCAAATATCATAAAGTTACCAATAAAAATATTTTTAAATAAATGATTTTAAATGATCATGTCACGGAAGTTATTCAAGATCAAGTTCAGCCCCACCAGGTACAATAGTTAGGCAAAAATCAATCGTCTGTTGTACTATCTACCCTTACTCTAAACCATCACCATCACCCAATAATTTCTTATACTCTCTGACTTAAGAACACATTGTAGTTATTGTTTTCAGTAAACATTCAAAATTAGAATTAGACTAGAGTCAGGTCTAAAAAGAAAAGCCACATAACATTTTGTTTAAATCTTGATTTCAAGTGGCTTATTAATCTGAACCAGCTTTACTCCTAGACTAGAAATTTCTAGGACCCTTCAATTCTACCAAATTCTTGCAACAATGCACTTGTGGTTTAAGAGAAGCAATATTTATAACAAGACATTCTAGAGCAGACCTGAACATTTAACACAAATTGCTTGGGTTCCACACAATTCTCTCCCACGTCAGTAAACCCCTTTATCCCAGACTCAGAATTCTACTTTCTGCGAGCCAACCTGGAGTAGAAAATTCACACAGCACAATTACCTAGTCACAGAGGTTATAAGCCACCTCTATAAATGGCAGGCACTTAAATGGCAGAATTTCTACATCCCAATAACTGGATCCCAGAGAGAACGTACTATCCAGAAACGACTTTTAAAAGGCAATTCTACCGCCTTTGATATAACCACATGAAATTCTATGTTCCTGTGCTAACTTGATCTTCTTTTCAACTACCATCAAAACTCTACCTCTCACCCACTTGACTCTTCTCAAAGACTACACCGTAACGCAGAAGATATTGCATGGCTCATGTTTTTTCACCAAAATACAAACAATAAACCCATATACACTCTCTAAAATCTTCATCCTAAGATTTTAGGTGATGATCCTTCACTATCACAAAGTCAGAGGACACCTTCCATTAGCCAAGGCTCAGAGCAAAGCCACAGCTTTAACTTCTTCTTCGGTCCCATTATCTTTCTTCTCTTGCTAGGATTTTAATGTTAAGTGCTAAAGTTCAATACCTAAAAGTTCATGAAGGTTCCCACTAACTCCTGGGAAGAATTAACTGAAAGTAAGATCTACTCTCCCCTTTAAAATCCTACTAAAACCTCAAAGGAACTAGAATGTTATCTAGTATCAATTATGGAACCTATATTTACTACATAAATGAATGGAAAGAAAAAGTGTGCCACCATCTTTACTTGAAATATTTGGTTCATAAACATGAGTCTCTATTAGGAAAGTGAATTTAGTAGAATAAGACCACCCACTACAAAGTTGGAAATCATATTTCATGCTGCGCATTAAGGCCAACAAGCAGTAAGATTCTTACCCAGCTCTGGGGAGTGCAGGAGTAACAACATCTTCCAACAAATGGCCTTTTCCGACTCATTAGGCTTTCTTTCCATTTTAAAGTTGCAGATCTGAAGACGGTAGGTCTAAAACCACACTCACCCTGACAAACATTAAGCAAAAAAAAAAATAGTGTCTAAATGGCAAGAGAATATTCGTCTACATGATCGCAAAAACTAAAGTATTTTGGACAGAAGAAAGACTTATGGCATATTCTTCTTTTGGACACGGTGATTTGCATTTAAGTACTCCCTCCATGATCAACACTTGGGTAAAAACTTACCACATAAGCAAAAGTTGAGCACCCAAGAATAGTAATAGCTACACACTGAAGGCAGCGTTCAAAAATTTAAAAACTAAATTGTAGAAAGTTAAACAGACTTTCGACAGCAAGACAAATATATTCAGACTCCTGGATCTCTATGCTACAATTAACCTTACTCCCTTTTAAACCACACACTCCCACTACAGAACTATAAAGACCTAACATAATGAGCAAGATTTTACAATTTCACAATATAGGTCACATTACATTGAAATAGAAAAAACAATCCAAGAAAATATATGCCTGTTAGATTTGAATTCATACTATAATTTCCTATTTTTAATTTTTTAAAGTTTACTTCTATTATAAAACCCATACTTTTTAAGTAAACCCATGGAAAGTACATACTAAGAAAGAAAGAAAAAAAAAAAAAAAACTAACTTGACCAAAAACTACTACAGTGTTTTTTTTCCCTATGCAAAAGGATCGTTTCGTTTTCAAACATAATCAGTGTATTTAAATTTTCTACCCATTTTTTCTTCCCAACATAATGCCATAAAATTTTTTATTAGGCTTCATAAAGATACCAGGTTCTGTAGCTATTAATCTCTCATTATTATGTTGCTGCCAGTATTTGCACCTTCATAAACATTATTAAGATGAACATTTTTAGGCTGAATGCTCTTAACCCTTATCCTAAACTTACCCATTCCTCACTTGTGTGCTTGCATCGACCAACACTGTATTCTGATGAATTTGGCAGATAAGAAACATCTATTGTACCAAGGGTCAGTGCAGATTCATCCATGTCACAAACTGTAATTCCAAAATCATGTGCTAAAAAAAAAAATATATGTACCATTTAAATTAGCAAGGAATTGAGAGAGTAAATACCAGAACTCAAAATTCTGATTTCTACTTTACTTTGCTCCATAATGGGATATCAAATGAACTGATAGACTCGAACCACGTTGAGTCACAATGTAAAAACTGACTTTGATGTGTTTATATGAACACAGGCTGCCCTGACTAGAAAAAAAAAAAAATCAACATTTGTATCCTAAGACTTCCTGAATATGTAAGGATACAACATTGTATCCTTAGACTTTCCAAACAAAATAGCTATTACTAGTCATTTGTAAGTGTAACTAAAAGCTTATTTTTATTTCATTTTCGTTAATATTTGAATAGTTCCTGGCAGAATGAAGGCATGTTTATTTAATTAAGGCAATTAGGGCATGCCTTAAGTTCCCCCACTTAAATTGAATTAAGATCGCAATTTTCCTGTGATGGCCTAAAAGAAATATTTTCACTTTTAATACAAAGGTAATACAAAGCTACAAAGCTCTGAAAGAAAAGTACACTATTTTGAAAAATCGGATGTCTAAGTTTTCATCCTTTTCGATAAGCTTTTTTCTACCCTAAGGAAAAAGGTTCACTGAAAGTAAACTCCTAGAATAGATATGAACCCAAAATATAAAACCTCTCTAACATAATCTCTAGTCTCAAATTATTTCAGCTTTTGCCTGTTTCTCACCTGGCCTAAAATCATTTCATTAAAATCCTGAAGGGTCACGTCGAGATTAACAGTGTTCCTTTGGAAGGCATATTCGGATTTCTTTACAATCCCCACATGGGTTTGCTACAATCACTGCTATTCTCGGCATAACTACCTACGTCCTCAACAATTTAACGTAAGTACAAGGTAACATAATAGGCCAAGGGAGAGAATAAAGCAATGCACCTGGGATGAAAGTTCTTCTGTATCATAAAACCTCAGGACTCAGCTATCAGTTCCGGGTGCAGAATGTCTATACAACAGTGGAGCCGCTGCTGCCTGCGAAAACGAAGAGGGGATGAGGGGAGGAAAAAGAGACCAACTTGTGCCAACAGGAAGTCCACGTTTTGCACTTCCTCCCCACAGTTCGCTCAAGGTCAAGGAGTAAAAAAAGCAATACCCCAGAGGTACCAGCCAGTAGGCGCTGAGGGAAGCAGACTGGAGGATCTGAAAAAGGCAGAGGCTGGGAGACCAGCTCTGAGGCTTAAATCTTCCACTGCTTACCATCTGTGATTTTTTTACTAACACAAGCTAGCTAACTTCTAATGCCTTGGTTTTCCCATCTGGAAAATGGGCATAATGATAGCTCTTACCTCTTGGGTTGCTGAGAGGACTGAATAAATACGAACAAAGGATCTACCACAGGGTGGAACACACAGTGAGCGCTCAGTCGAATCAATGGTGACGCTATCATTAATTATTTTCAGCACACTGACTGCTCTCAGAGCACCCCTGCTGCCTCAATGTCCCCCAGGGACTCAGGCGGGCTGGCTGGCGGCGCCTCCGCGCGTGCACATGCTTAGGGGGCTGAGTCCATAAGGACTCCTTCCTCCCCAGCGGAACCCATGCCCCAGCCTGGTCACCCCGGGAGAACTGAATCCTACCCCTACCCCTGCACGAGCCCAACCCATTTCTCAGGGAGAAGCCTGGAGCTCGGAGGACAGGGAAAAAGGGATAGGACTGCCCCAGCAACTTGCAGGAGTCGCACCAGCTCCACGCACCTGTCCCGGCGCTCCAGGCCCGAGCAGCCTCCCGCAGCCTGTACCCGCCCTCGCGGCTCGCACCCCAGCAGCTCCGGCTTCGGTTGCTGCAGCTGCCTGCACTTCAAGCCCCGGCCAGTGACTGCTGCAATAGCGCGCCCTGATGACGCAATAGGCGCGCGGGATTGATGCTGGGCCTCCGGCGAGCCAGCGTCGGGGGCGGGGCCCGGCCTGTGGGCCTCGGGGAGCGTGCGTGGATCTGAGAGTAGAAAGTGCGCACTCGAGTGTGCGTGCCTGTGTGTGGCTAAAGATAGTGTGTGAGCGCCCGGACAGATGGTTACACTGCCTAGGCCTTGCGTGTGTGAGTGTGTGTGGGTATGTCATTCTGCTTTGTGTGAATTCAGCTTATCTGGGAGCTTGACCCTCTTCAAGGCTCTATTGGAAGTGTGTGCGTGGGCTGTCCGCTTATGTGTGTGGTCTTTTTATGAGACCTGTAAGACTCTGCAGGATTTATTACGAATGAGAGAGGCAGGGATTGCAAATGGTCATGTTGTGTAATTTCTACAAAAGTGGCTGAGTGCCTTTTCCTTTAAGGAGGAGAATGAGATGTAAAGTGAAGCAAATAAGACTTACAGGATAAAAAGCCTCCGTTAGACAGGAGAAATAAGGGTTTTTTTTTTTTCCTTTGGACTGTATGTTGCACATCATGTAAAATATAGTAAATAATAATGTATTACACTTTTCAAAATCGCTAAGAGTATGTTTCAAAAGTTCTCACCATGAAAACTGAGAAATAGGTAGATGTGCTAATTAGCTTGATTCAGTTATTCCACGTTGTATTCATAATGTGGAATAACTGAATCAAGCTAATTATAACATTGCTTTGTACCACAGAAATATATGCAACTATTTAATTCATTTACAATATAATTTTTAAAAAGTGGCTTTTAGGAGTCTGAATTCAAATTGGCCTACCCTTAGCCCTTGAAACAAATTAACACTGAACATGAAAAGGCTCTTTCACAATATTTGTCACGCCATTGACAAGGCCAGTGATTATCAAGAGATTAGCAATTTAGAAGGAAAAAGATAAACTTTTTTAGCTGAGGGTGGTGGCACACGCCTGTAGTCCCAGCTGCTCAGGAGGCTGAGGTGGGAGGATTGCTGAAGCCTGGTAGGCAGGGGTGGCTGTGAGCCAAGATCACGCCACTGCACTCCAGCCTGGGTGACAGCGAGACCTGTCTCAAAAACTAATAAACTTTTACATGCACTCAAGCAACATTCAGTATGACCGAGGATCTGGGAATACAAAGATGATTAAAGCATATGCCCTTCCCTCAAGCCTCCGCCACCTCTCCTTGTCCTTCCTACACTCACTAATCCTAATTCCCTATTCAATACAAATCTTCATGCATATCCACCTGGAAAAAAATCCCCATAGGCCTGGAATATAATAAAGCCTCCACACAGAGGTCTCTGCTATTCCCTCTTCTCCAACAGAAGCCTTACACTTCCTTTCTGATTGTTCTTAGACAAGCCATGGGCACTTCTCCTCCTAATTCTGCTCATACTGTTCTCCCTGAAATTCTACAGTTCCTTCCTGAACTAGTTCTTCAAGCCTTCCCTAATGTCTCCAACCCTCAATAACCACACCTGTGATATCTCAAACATGTGCTACGATACCACACCTTGGATCTTTCTCAATTTCTGTCTTCTAGAAGATTACAAACACATTATGTCAGTGACTTGCCTCAGTCTCTTAGTTGATACCAAAGTCTCTTGTTTTTATGGTAAGCCCTCAATAAATACTTGTTGGGGCTAAGGAACAATTAAAAAAAATTCCTTCTCTTGAATTTTCTTGTACCTCTATGTATAAATCTGCCCCAAAATGCAAATGTCCTCCTCTTTTGAAACAATCCGAAACAATGGGAGTAGATACTCATTTTTTAAAAAACAGATTTTGAGCTTCTTGAGGTCAAAGACCCTGTCTTTAGTCAACCCACACACATAATCTTAGCAATAAGCACAGACCTAAATACTCGAGCACTTTATGCTGACTAGTCAGGAAGATGAATTTTAATCCCAAAATATTATGAAATATTGTGTACAGGTTATTGGCCCCTGACAAGGAAAAAAGAAAGAGGGGAGAAAACAGGGAAAAGTCTTAGGGTTTGAAGTCACTACTAAAGAGAAACTAAGAACAATTGCACTAGAGAGAATACCACAGGAATTTTAAAATGTAAGCCAAAGGGAAAAATGGATCATCTTACATAAAAGTCATTTTGCAATGTCCTTTGCAAAGCGTTACTGTCGAGGAGACGTATATTGCAATGTCAGATGTTTCATGTTACTTAATGAGAATTGTTTTGGAAATAATTGACACCCTTGACAATCTGTTTTATGAAGAGAACCACAGTAATTTATAGCAATCCAGCCTAGCCAGCTAAGGTGGAGCAACAGGACTGAATTTACTCTCCTGCCTAAAACAACTAAAAACAAAAACAAACAGGTGTATATAAGACAATGACTTTTCAAGATTGTGCTGGACAGTGGTCCCTGAGGAGAGAAAACAAATGAGGTGAGCCCTATCATTGCCTTGATTTACTGACTAGAGGGAGCAGCCCAGGCTGCAGTACAAAGAGGGGAATCCAGGAAGAGCTAGGCAGAAGCCCTGAGTTGTGGAGACAGAACTGGGAGAGCAGGAAGAGCAGGGAGGCCAAAGCAGCTAGAATTGGTAGTCCTATATCAGAGATGAGAAAGCTACACAGAGAAAAAAGAATATGTGGAAATCTACAACAGAGCTCACTTCTGCTGATTAGAGAATGTGTGTGAGCAAGCTTACCTAAGGCCAGGAAATAATTATCTATGAAGAAAAGAGAGAGCAATAACTAAATCTTACACAGGATAGGAAATTAACCCTGCTCCCAAAAGGCAGAATAGAAAGATACCCAGTGATCATAAAGGACCAGAAATAGTACCGGATCCTGGCACCCAGGCTGGAAAACCTCATAATTCACAACTCAAATGGTTTTGTTTGAGTAATGGGGCAAAATTAGCCCTAATGTAAATACTACTCTGATTCTAAGAAATCTTAAAAGTCAGCCCCCAAAGGATTAAGCTGTTTTTAAGAACAAAGTGTCTCAGAGTAAAACACAAAAATATTTATAGGAAATTAAAAATAACCAACACCTAACAAGGTAAAATTTGCAATGTCTGGAATCACATCAGAATTATCAAGCATGCAAAAAGAAGCAGGAAAGTAATGAGAAAAAAAAATCAACCAATTGAAAGCATCCCAGAAATGACAAAGATGATAAAATAAGAGAACAAGGACATTAAGAAAGTAATTATGATTGTATTCAATGTGTTCAAAAATAGAAAAAATAGACTGAACATGGGAAGTAGAGATGTGAAAAATCTTTTTTCTTTAAAAAAGACACAAACCAAACACATAGGAGATAATAAAATCACTGAGATTTTTAACACACACACGCACACACACACAAAGGATTAATAGGATAGACATTACTAAAAAAAGAAACAGTAAAAAACATGAAAGCATTGTGATAAAAACTATCCAAAATGAAACACTGGGTGAAGAAAAAGACTGAAAATAAAAATAAACAGAGTATCAGTGTGCCTAGTATACATGCAATTGTAGTCCCTGAAAAACATGAGAAATATGAGGTGAGAATAGATTAGGGAGGACAGAAAAAAGTATTTGAAGAAACAATCGATGAAAACTTTCCAAATTCGACCAAAACTATAAACTCATAAACCCAAAAAGCTCAACAAAGTCAGTAGAAACGTGAGGAAAACCATACCAAGAAACATCATGTTCAAAATGTGTAAAACCATTGATAAAGAGAAAACCTTAAAAGCTATTAGAGAGAGAGAAAAAAGACATTACTGTACAGAGGAACAAAGATAAGAATGACAGAAGGTTTCTCACCAGAAAAATACAAACCAGAAGATGGTGGAGCAGCATTATAAGTACTGAATGAAAAACCTATCAATCTAGAATTCTTTTATATTAATATATAACATGTACATTTTATATATATATTATATATATGTATCAAAACAAGACAAAATAAAAACATATTTGACAAAGAATTGCTGAAAGAATTAACCACCAGCAGGCTTGTTCTATAAGCAGTGTTAAAGAAAGTCTTTCAGGCAAAAAGAAAAGCTTTCAGATGGAATTCTGAATCTATGCAAAGGAATTAAGAGCTTAAGAAACCACAAATATGTAGGTAAATAATAATTCTTATTTTTAAAGCCCTTATTTTATTTGTTTTATTTTATTTTATTTTTGAGATGGAGCCTCACTCTGTCACCCAGGCTGGAGTGCAGTGGCGTCATCTCAGCTCACTGCCAACTCCACCTCACAGGTTTGCAATTCTCATGCCTCAGCCTCTTGAGTAGCTGGGGTTACAGGCACCTGCCACCACACCCAGCAATTTTTATTTCTGTATTTTTAGTAGAGCTGGAGTTTTACCACATTGTCCAGGCCAGTCTCGAACTCCTGACCTCAAGTGATCCACCTACCTTGGTCTCCCAAAGTGCTGGTATCACAAGAGTGAGCCACTGTGCCCAGCCATTAAAGCCCTTTTAAAAGATAATTGCTTAATGCACAAGCAACAACAATACTTTGTGGGGTTTATAACATATATAGAAGTAAAATATATGATGACAACAGCGCAAAGTCCAGGACAGAAGAAGTATTCTGTTGTAACATTCTTATTTTATGCACTAAGCTGTTTAATATACTTTAAGGTAAACTGTAATAAGTTAAAGATGTATACTTTAACTTCTAAAGCAAGTACTATGAAAGCAAAACTAAGAGTTACCATTAACACATCAACAAAGAAGATTAAGTTGAATTTTTAAAATGTTTAATGAATTCAAAAGAAGGCAGGAAATGAGTGTGGAGAAAAGAATAGATAGAATAAAGAGAAA